CACTTTTTCCTGGGACTCAGGAATAGTGTTCTAATTCTATGAATATAATACTCTTCTACAATTCTAACATATTTGTCTTCTTATAACTTCAAAATCAATTTATCACAAAGATTAAAAATAAAACCAATTCTACAAGTTTAGGAGCTGCTGTTATGTACAAAAGGCAGCTAATTAAAATCTCTACACTAAATCAAAATGCACAAACGAATATATTTACTTTATAATTAAAAAAAAATAAAGCTTAAAAAAGAAAAACCTTTCCCCAACGTTTGTTTGGGTCTAGTTGTTCTGTTCACTGAGGCAACAAGGCACAATAAAAGAACATGGGTTTTGGAACCAGCAAAACCAGAATCCATAGCCTGGTTCTGCAACTTCCTAGGTATGAAAACTTGGACAAGTTAAACTCCCTACACATCAATCCCCACCTTTATAAACGGGGTAACAGTACTTTGCCTAAAGGACTGTGAGGAAAAAATGAAAAACTGGATACAAGGTACCATAATAAGGAGAGCACTTTTATTTGGCACAGTATACATGATAGCTACTATAATTATTTTCTTTTCTTTGGGGAAAAAGAGGAAGTTCATTTTCTAACAAGTTATTCAACTTTATTCCTAGTCCAACATCAAGGAAAAAACAACATGAGATAGCTCCTAAAACCATTGGGAGTCCTTGACAATTCTCAGTTACAAATTTACATTGTAGAACTAAGCAGTCACTTGTTTTTTTCCGTTATGGCTCAAGGAGTTGCGTTTGTGAATATGATGCACGAAGAAGTCAGAGAGCTGAAAGCTGAACCTGACGTTTCATAGTTCATTTTCTAACAAGTTATTGTAGGGTGTTCCTAGTCCAACATCAAGGAAAAAACAACATGAGATAGCTCCTAAAACCATTGGGAGTCCTTGACAATTCTCAGTTACAAATTTACATTGTAGAACTAAGCAGTTCTTATAGCTCATACCAACAGATAATGCAAGACTGTTCAAGAAAGAAGAACCCTATATCTAATCATTATACTCTTACCTTGCAGGCTACATCAACTAATCGCATCTGGATAGCTTGATTCTCTGAGAGTTTAGTGCCAATTGCAAGCAAAGTGTCCAACAGTTGAGCTAGGACTTGATGAGACTCTAGAAAGAAAGATAAGTTGTGTTGTAAAATTTCAAAAAGAGATCACTAAAGAAACTAAGTTTACTTGGGTAAAGAATGTAGATTTTTTTTTGGCAGCTAATTTCTACTATTTGATCTTTGATTCCCCTCAACTTAAAGCAAAGTTCCTAAAGGTATCATATCTAAATATTTGAATCCTCCACAGGTTGGCCAAAGTGCCAATTCAAGGGCTTTTCACTGCCATCAAGATACAGTCCAAATTCCTTAGCAGGGCATACATACATACATACATACATACATACATACATACATACCCTACAATGTCTAGCCCTCCCTGCCTTTTTCCAATTAGATTCATGTCCCCCTATCTTTGCTCAGGCCAACGTCTTCACCTAGAATGACTTCGTCCACACTCGACTCCATTCTCAGCCCCACTCCTGAGGGAATTCCTACTATTCTTGAAGTGTCACCTCCTGTATGAAGCTTTTCCTCGTCCCCAAGAATGGACCATTTTCTCCTCCATGCTTCCACTGCACCCTCTACATCAGCTGTAACTCTTTACTATATTTACTTACTTTTACATCCGATTAAATCGGGAAAGTAAAAGAACCTTGAGAGCAAAGATAGTATTTTATTCACCTCTGTATTATCAGAATCTAGCATAACTCATTAAATGTTCAATGAATGTTTAATAAATGGGCAAAAATCCAAATCCAAATAAATCAATACCAATCATCTTAGCCAGATTTTCTTCTTTGTTCCAAAATATGGTTCTTCCAATGATTGTAGTATACAAGTGGATTTAGATGGCATTCAAATAACCATGTAGATATTTTAATGTGCATAATAAACACTGCAGTTACTATCTATTGATGTCACGTGTCACTATTTTCATTTTAACATTTCTAATGTTACAAGCCCCTTTAATTTTATTTAACTAAAAAAATTGTCCACTTAAGAAAAACACTAAGCAAACCATAGTATAGATGTGAAGCAAATATATAAGAAATGGTGTACATGATATATAAATGACTAAAGCTCCGAAAACACTGTTAAATGACCCCTTAGTAAGACTTCTAGTCTTTCTCTCACATCAATGTCTCTCTCTCTCTCTCTCTAAAATCAATAAAAACATGTCCTCAGGTGCTCTGGCCAGTTTGGTTCAGTGGTGAGAGTGTTGGCCTGTGGACTGGAGGGTCTCATGTTCAATTCCCAGTCAAGGGCACTGATCAAGGGCACATACCTCTGTTGCAGGTTCCCCAGCCCAGGTCGTGTGCATGGCAATCTATATGTCTCTCCCTCCCCCCTTCTTCCTCCCTCCTACTTTCTCTGGAAATCAATGGAAAAATATCCTCAGGTGAGGATTAAAAAAGAAAGTCTTTGGTAGAAATTCAACACAATTACATTTTGTGTTGTGTACACAAATACAATTTTGGTATAAAGGTGTTTCTAACAAAATTTTTTAGAAGTTCTCAACTTCAGTCAATAAGCCACATATGTAAGATATTTGTTGACATTAAACAGCTGTACAATAAATAAGTTTAGATTGTCTCTGAATTCATTGGCCCTTTATTTCTCTCATAATCTTTTAAGTTTATAGACTAAATGTTGTCAAATATTTAAATAGTCACATTTGTTTATATATGTATACCCAAAATAAAACTATTCTCTAAAACCACAACTAATTCAAACAAATTACAATATTTCCAGAAATACCAAAAGAGCATTATGCTAAGTGAAATAAGCCAGTCAATGAAAGAAAAATACCACATGATCTCACTTATTCATGGATAATTGAGACCATTATATACTTTTGAACAATAATAGATACAGAGGCAGAGCTGCCTCAAACAGAGTGTCAAACTGC